TGAAGTCCGTCCCAATACTTGTCCACACTTGTCACGTTTCCAGTTCTATTCCTTCCAAGTCCCTGACCATTCACCTGGCCACGCGCTACCGCCATGAAGCTCTGTGGGTATCAGTTCCCGAGGGTCCCCCCAAGCAGGACTTCCCTTTCCCACTAGACTGCAGAAGTGCTGCTGGTGACAGCATTTTAGCTTAACACCAAGTTGTTTTTTTCTCCCTTAGCAGATCCCAGGGAAACGCCTGCCGAGGCCACAGGGGACTGAGGGATAGGGCAGGGCAGCAGGAGCGCTGCCTCTGGTCAGAGCCTCCCGCCCAAGCGCCTGACCCAGGAGCGGCTGAGCCTGCTGACTGCCGGGGCCTCAGTTAGGGACAGGCCACTTGGATACATGGTCAGCTGCGCCCACACAGGGCGTCTGAAGTCTTGTATGCCAGCAGCAACCTAGGAGCTGGTCTCAAAACAGAGACGTGTTTCTCACAACAGGACATGCACATGCCCAAACTCTTGGGTGGCCTGCAATGCCCCCCAACTCTGTGTGGCTCTGGTGCTTGCTCTGGGCCCCCCAGTGCATCTGCTGGGTCAGTAACACTCAAATGTGCTAGACAGCCTTCTCTGCCTCTGACCACTGTGAAGGACACAGGGCAGCAGGGTAGCTTCCTGAAAGATGGTTTTATGTAGCTTCCAACATCTAGAAGAAGCACAAAGCACTGTGGCTGGAGTTGTGGAGGCCGGACACGCAGACCAGTGACTTCCTTAGACTCTGGGTGGGGGGAACCGCATCACGTGCTCCAGACAACCCACCTCTGGAAAGTGCAAGAGGTGGGGCACTCCTGAGCTTCCACGGCAGCGGCTCCACCTTCTGCCAATGGCCTCATTCCGTCTCCCCCCTTCGATCTCTGTGAGCCCCGTAGACTGTGCTGTTTTTCTCAAAAAGGGGTTATTTCACTTTTGCCTTGAGGTCTTCAATCCTCTCTCTCCCCATCATTTCAAATTGATTTAAACACACATGTACCGAATGCCTACTCTGGCAGGATCAGGGGCGTGAAGACAACAGCCAGGGCGAGTGTCAGTCACGTGAGCCGTGACAAGCTGCGGCGGAGAGATGCAGAGGTGATAGGCACACACAGGTCATCTGCCCCAGAAGCGGGTCAGGCACGGCAGCCAGCAGAGACTGAGTGTGTAGGCTGTGCTCTGAAGGCTGTGGGGCTGCATGCTGGGGTGGAAGGGGCTCTCCAGGGGAGCAGAGCAGCAGCAGGGAGCCGGGTCTGCATGTGGGGCGTCCCTGTAATGCTGCACGCTCGGTCTTCCTTTACTTTCAACGTTGTCTTTCTGGTTCCTACCCATTCTTTGTCCCAATTTTGTTCTCATTTCTCCTCAGATTATGACCCAACAGATTACCATAAATACTATGAAGGTAAAAAGTTTCCCATATTTTGGTGTAAAGAGCCCATCGTGCTCAGGGGCACAGCCGGTAAATAGCTCAGCTCTACGTTTTGACCTTTTCTTCTTCCTCCATTATTCTTTCCCCGCTATTCATCAGCACATGGCCAGTTTATTACAGAAAGAGGCCTGCATAGGCACCCAAGGGTAGTCCTGACAGACAAGGCCTGTATACTGACACGGGTGGGGTTCAGCAAGCGAGGCCTACACTGACACAGCAGGGCGGAAAGCAGCCTCTCCCAAGTTTCTGACAGCTGACAGAAAATAGTCCACAGAAGATAGCGCATTCTACTCCAGTATAGGGTCTCGTAAGACGCATGTCCCAAGAGTGGGAACTGAAACTTCCCAGAGAGGTGCAATGCTCTACAGCTGTTCCCACAAGTCACTGAGAATAAGACTCTATTTAGAGGAAAGGATAATGCATTTACTAGTAATTTAATTCAGTAATTATGCATGTTCCTGTACACTGCCTGTCCCGGATGGGAACCAAAGGACGGGTGAGGGAGCGTGGGAACCAAAATGACCCAAGACACCATCACGGCCCTGAAGTAATTTCCTATGTTATCAAGAATTGAGAGGGATATTTAGAAATGGCTCGTGCTTTACGTCTAAAGGGAACAGGCTGACACACATGACTTCACATTACAACAGGGTAACCTACTCACTTTGAAAGAACCTCGTCACTACGCTGCACTTCAGTGAGCCCATCTCAGTGGTGGAGCAGGCCAAGCGAGGCAGAGGCAGTTCTCTTTCAGCAGCAGAAGCACAATCACCCCATTTCTACCCAAAATAGAAAATCTAGTTATAGGAAACCAAAAAATTCGACTATAATAACAGGCAGATATGCATTACTACCCAGGAACTGAATTACCTACCACAACCGTGCATGGCTGCAAAGCTAGTAACATACCTGAAAAGCAAGAGAGCCACCAAGACCACGGCCACTGCCCCGGCGTGCTGCCTTGCTCCTGGAAGGCTGGAGCGGTGCAGGTCAGGTGGCCAGCTGCTAGAAACGTATCTGCAGAAATGCGTCTGTGTTTGCACTGTGGGGACTTCCTGCAAAATTACAAATCCCAGGCGAGAACCAAGGGTCTCCAATGCTCACAAAACACTGCCTATCAGGTGTGGAGAGGTATGCTAGTCATCTCTGACAACCTGCTTAGAGGGCTACCAGGAATGTTTTTTGCTCCCCCCACCCCAAAATGATATGACAGTCTACAGAACTGAGCATTGTTGTTTACTAACAGGAGGGACAGAGTGGACCTGCATTTGCAGATAGCTTCCGATCACCGCCAGCCGAGGGACTGAGACCCCTGTCTCCTGCCACGCAGCCTTTACAGGTCTCCCTCCCCCCAGTGCATTTCTCACAGGTGTCATGAGAAGGCAGGGAGGACACCCAACTTTCTGTACATACAGGTTCTGAAATCAAAAATAGAAGATGAGTGAATCATAAATTCTCTACCCACCACTTTGATTTTCCACATCTGTTTCATGTGCCAAGCTCTTCTTAACTGTACTCTCGGTCTTTCCAAGCTACACTGAATAGGCGGAGTCGTGGTTTTTGTAACGTAAGGCTAGGCTAACATGACCATTTCATAGCCTCAAGCATTGACAATCAGATTCCTGTTCACAAACAGCTTTCAAATACTTTTTGGCTCACATACATGTTAACATATAAGACAGAATTCTTTTCTACCCGAGCACTTCATCTCATCTATAGATGTTTTCCTTAAAAGTAGGGTGCAAACATTTCTGTAAATCAAACTGCATGACCCATTAAACAACATTTCTATTAGGATGGGGAGATTTTTTCATACCACCTGGAAAGTCTTATAAGTACACCTCTGGCCATCCCCCTAACTCAATGGTGAACACCAGATTGGAGAAGGAATAAATGTTTTATCAAAAAAGCTCCCCCACAAAATTCTCATCCCATTCCCACTGCAGACACCACCTCACCCACCTGCCCACTCCTGTGGACGAACCCTAGTTGCTGTCACTACTGAATCTCAAGAATCCCACATCCTAACACCCTGTCCTATCATTCCAGCTCTTCCTTTGTGGTATCCATCTCTCATTGTTCCATGAGCTCAAAGGGACCCCCAAAGACAAGCCTTTTTCTTCCTCTCCATCAGCCATTGTGTCCCATTGGGTTAGAAGTACAATCACTCCCCACTTATATCCTCATGTCCCCTGTTCCTGTTCCTTATATCAAGCCCCCTGAGACCCAGCTTTCCACCCGGCAGCTGACGACCACAGAGGTACCTGTTTGCTGACTGGCCTCACTGATGTAATCTCGTGTCTCACACCCTGAAGAGACCCGAGTGCTTGACAACCCTATGACGGGCCACCCATCACTTCAGGGGCTTGTTTCCAGTGGCTAGCTCATGACCACTCACATTGTTTCCCTCTCTCAGTTGATAGTGCCGCTCTGCATGGACAGATGTGCCTAGAATAGTATGTGGGAACAGCTTATAAATGTCTCTTAAATAATGAAATATACCAAGAAAAAGGGGGTTTTGCTTCCTTAGACTAGAACCCTATTTTCTTTTTCTTTTTTTTAAGATTTATTTATATGTGCATACCGAACTGGGGTACAGGCCAGAGGCTCAGGGGCGGTGAGAGGCTTCACCAGAGACAGAGTGGGGACAGAACAGGCAGATCAACAAAGTACACTGCTGAGGGGAGCAGCGGGCCGGTCAGGAGAGGTCTGCCACACCATGTGGTCACCTCCGGGGCAGGCGGGAATCAAACTTATGCGGAAGCGGCTTTAGATTCTCAGTGCTGTGCTTTAACCCACTGCGCCACCAGGGAGGGCCTAGAACCCTATTTTCTATGTAAAACCGCATGGTTAATCAAGTAAGGAGTTTGGTAAGTTCCTCTGTGGTGGTGGTGGGGTGCGGCTCGGTGGAATAAAATATTGGCTTTACTATTAGTTCTGTTACTAATTAGTACTGTTCCTTTAGATGAGTTATTTAACCCCTCATCAGATGATGTGATACTACATATATTTTTTATTTTCAGACAAAGAAAAGAGATCTACCAAACAGAGAACCAGCAATGCACCCAGCATCCATCAAGAACCTTTGTCCTTCCAAAGTACATCAATGTGTCCTCCATGGTATTCCAAATAAAATTCTATTCCCCAATATAATGGATCATTACTAGTTTACCATCATTAAGTGAGATGTTAGTAAATGAGATTTTTTTTCAATCAGATTAAATTCAAGATGTTAATCTTTAACTCAATTAAATATGCTATTCAACTGTCACCAAACTTTCTTGCTATGAATGAACAGAAAAATGCCAGCTTAAATGAGAAAGATTATTTAAGATTAAACTTATTCAATAATCATAAATGTTCTGAAAGGCGCATTTGCTTTAAGAATAAGTGCTTGGTAATGGACCATAAATTAATGAAAACTTACTGATTCACATATATTACAATTAAGCTGTTACCACTGTATATCTCTAAGTAGTAAATTGAATGTATCCTACAAGTAAAAAAGCAAAACAAACCACTAACTCCCTGCCCCCCAGAAAAAACACCAGACCATATTGTCAAGCAAAATATTTTTAATTAGTAGGCTGATCATAAATAAATCCACATAAAAGATTTAACAGAATTACAAAGAGTTTTGTGTTTCTTTTGTGGACTCAATTCATAATACGCATTAGTCAACCTCATTCTCTAACTGCGACAAAAAAAGAGTTGTCACCCAACGATGCAGCACAGTAAGCAATCCATCTTCTGTAGTTACATTTTTACATTTTCTTTACAAATGTAACATTTATGTACATTATATATATTCTCTATAGTTCGAGTACTGAAACTCTACTGTTGTACAGGGAAAATATTTAATTCATTTAATGAATATGAATCATTCCTTGTTAAAAAGTAATTCATATAAACAAATAACACGGTACCACTGCCTGTTGGCATCTCTTCTCGGAGCTTGAGTCCAGAAATGGGATATTGTAAGGGAAAAGAATTTACCTAACTTTACATTATGACATCTCATTCCACACAGCTACCTCTGTCTGCTGCTGACAATGGGCAGCACTGACCAGCTGGACGACTGGAAGCGTGTGGAAGCCAGTGCGAACGTGCTCGCTGACAGAGCACCATAACGTTATAACCACTCCTTAGGCTGAAGGCTCCATCGAGTCCCCTCCTCGGCTTTACCCTTCGCCAAAGCCACAGGCAGGGTGCTATGACATTCACGTCCCTCATAACAACCAAAGCCTTCATTTCAAATGGACTATGTGCTTCTCTGACAGATCACGCTTTACCTAGGTCACGCCCTTTACGCTTGTGTTCAATGTTATTCCACTTCACTTACAAATCTGCTGCTGAACGTGGAGCAAAAATTCGTGATAAGAAAATGCAGCTTCTGTCCGGTCTTCAATCAAATGTTGGAAAAACTCCGTTTTGGCAGGACTCTCATCTCTGAAAAAGAGAAAATGAATTTATCTGAAAATATGTATTATTAAAGGGTCATGAGACATTTTTAAAATTACTAAGATAAGGGGACTTTAGGAAAATGGGACATCACAGGATATTTATCGACTAACAGCACTGTAACACGGTGATGTATTTTGCTACTAATTGATTGACATGTACTTTTCAGATGAGCAGTTTCACACAGATTGAACAGGTTAACGTGGTTTTGTAACCATCGGTTATAGTAGTACTTACTTTACCACATGAAGAATCGAGCTTAGTGGTCTGTTTTCTCTAAGCCAAGCTATAAAGGACCTGGCTCTTTCTGATGAAAGTGTATCTAGCTCTGGCAGATGTGTCTGGCGAAAAAAACACAGTTAGGAAATGGTTTCCTTGCCGAGCAATTCAATTGCATTAGAACCGAGTGATGAATTCCACGGCTGCCAATGACCCACTGCTTACTTCCCAACCCCTGACAACAACCAAACAAAGGACATTTACATCCACGGCAAATCTCTTCATATTTTCCTAATTAAGTCAAAAAACACACAACGATTAACATGTTGCTGATATTTTATCTTAACATTATGTTTGCTCTGGATAAATCATTGAAATACGCACAATAACTAGTCTGATGCTGGGATAGTGTTACAATTACAATAAGATCTACTAAAATTGTGTTTATAAAATAATATAAATAAAAGCTGCTCAAAAACAGCTTGTTGGCTGTTTTCAAAAAATTAAACATCCTTTACCAAAAGATGCAGCAATTTTATTCCTAGGTCTACATCCAAAGAACAATTTACACATGTTCACCCAAAAGCTCACACACGAACTGCCCGTGGCTGCACGATTCCAACAGTGGAAACAACCGTGTCTGTGGGTGGCTGGTGACAGCACACAGCACAGCCACACAGTGGAGCGTCAGGAAGAACAAAGCCCTGACACATGCTGCAACACGGGCGAAGTCTAAAAGCACAGTGAGAAGGAAGGAGCTGAACACAGAAGGTCACACGGTGTTGTGATACTGCTTATACGAAATGTCCAGAGCAGGAAAACCCAGAGAGAAAGAGCAGACTAGCAGTTGCCAAGGGAACCGAGAGGGGAGTGCTGGGAGAAACAGGTTTCTTTTGGACTGACTCAAACGCTCTGAAATTACAAACGCTTGATGGTTGTAAAACACTGTGAACATACTAAAAATTAATCAACTATATAGTTTAAAATGGTGAATTGTATGTGAGTTTACTATCAATAAAAAACTAATGATAAGAAACAAGGACGCATACTTTAAGGTTGCATAAAATCCACTGACCATTTTCTGTGGTATTGATGCAAAATTAGGAAACCCAAGGACATCTTCTATGAAGTTATTGTCACAGCCTTTTCCAACCCAAATGTAGAAAACCTAAAAAACAAACAAACCCCTCAAAATTCCCTAATCAGAAACCTATTTAGGGCATCAAGCACAAACAAGGAAAAGTATTATATCTCAAAGTATGGACAAAGACATGACATAAAATTTGTAACTGGCACATTTGGAAATCTACACCCAGGACTCGAGTGGTTTGTATTTTTTTTGCTTCAATATCAACACTTCCCATGGAAACGTTTCGCCTTCTTCACTATCCGTCCCTGCTAAGGCTCTCTGAATCCTTTTCCTGCCTAGAAGGTGTTATTTTTGGAGTCATCTCATCCACTCTTAACAGTTCACTACCACCCTGCCCAGGGACCTCTGAACTCTGACTTGGTTCACAGGCTGAACTAGATAAACTTTTGAGGTCCTTTGATTTTTAAGGTTCTAGATGGTAGAGTTCCTGAAGACAAAACTTAAAATCTTTTTACTTCTTCTTTTTATCAAGCACATATAATCCATGACAGTAAATAATCCATGAAAATAAAAATCCACTCATCCATCGGTGACAATATGACATCCAAATGTGAAAAGTGCACAGTAAGTTGACCTCTTATGGCAGTTACCACTGTACTGCTACCCCTCTTCTCACTTCTACTGCTTATCTGTGATAACATAGCTGAACACTGCAAGTTTTCCTTTTTGCCAGCTGAGTAAGCTTTGTAGTAGAGGGTGCTTACAGAGCCACAGTCCATAAGGAAGGCGCCTTCTCTCGTCAGCTTCTCTGCAGACAGTTTTTGGAGCGGTGGTTGGGGCACAACCCTGTCGTTAACATGTATTGCGCCCTGAAAAGAGAAAGGTGGACTGTGAATGAGCTTACATTGCTATCACCTCCACTTACAAGCTAGTGACTAACCACTAGGTACAATAAAATAAAAAAATGACCCTGGAGAATTTAGGCTGCAAAAGCCACCGCTCATACATTACTACCTTAGCGGTAGAATCAAGACACTCAAATGTATTCAAATAATAGATAAAAACATGAGCACGTAAAGGATCTGCCCTGGTGTCTCCCTCTGGGGACTAAGATGTGCTGTGACTAGGAAAGCCACTGCAAGCGGGCGCTACTACCCAATGGCAGTGACAGGATAGAGAGAAGACTCCAAAGAGGACAGTTTGAACCAAAAGAAGAAAAGAAAAAGCCTATACATTTGCATGCACATTGAAAATTCTGTTGGAACAACAGATTTGATTTACAATAATCAAAATTTTGATCATATCAAAAACAATATATTCAAGTGTAAACAGAAATGTCCACTTCCTAGGTTTGCTTTGTAATAAACATAACCATACCCGGTGAAAAACTTCCCGTGCGAAACCCTATAACCAGTCCTTATTTAATGTATTACTTCTACAGGGAAAAAAACAGACACAAGTATTATTAATAACACATTACCACCTAAGCCACAGAGTCAGAATATCACTTAGGTTTACATTAAAAAGTTTTACATGCATTAGAAGAAATTATACCTCATCGGTCAATCGGTCTATCCTGTATAAGTTGGGGTGAATCATTTTCATGAGATGAATAAGGGGCTGGCACTTGATCTGACACATGGCATACACACGATCATCCAGACGCGTGCTTATGCCAGTTCTAAATGCTTTCTGTATGGAAAAAGATGAAAAAATTCAGGGAAAACATATACAGGACAAAATTTAAAACAATTATATAGAAACTACTATCAATCATGGAGAAATTATGGGCTTTAAATCAGAAAGTCCTGGATTAAATTCTCATGCTAACATTTAATACAGGTAGGCATGCGATCAAGTTACTTAGCCTTTCCACGTTATATTGTCACCTAAGACAAACAGCAGCACGGAAGGATGCTGTAAGGAGCACGAGTTCATGTACACGTTACACCTATGATGGTGCCGAGACTGTCCAGGGGGCAGCGGGCCCTTGCCCTGAAGCACTTTGGGAGCACGACAGACACAGGAGCACTTAGCAGCTCCCTCAGACTGGAGGAGCGCAGCGCTTTCACTAATCCTCCTGACTTCACTGCCCACTGCCTCTTCCTATTCTTCAAAACTCTTCCAATGCTAGCTGCAGAATCTTCTAATCAAGTATTTTTAAAAACCCACAAAATCTAGATCTCATTCCATCTATGTATCAGGTATTTAAAAGGACTTCACAAAATCTAACAGTATACAGAGAACGACCCACCTGTTTGAGAAGGGCCAAGATATAGAGTGGAAACAGCTTGAGGGAACTGGGCGCCACGAGGGCCGAGTGCTGCATGTGGGAGACCGCTGAGCGGTAGGCAGACAGCGAGTCCACCACTGCGTTCACTAGGGCATCTCTGGCGTCCGACAGACTCGAGGAAATAGACCGATCCACAGCTACAAGGAAAATCAAAATGTATTTTACCACAAGATTTCAATGAGTGCTGGAAAAGATAAGATTTACATGCTTTACTAAAGAAGCCAACAAAGATTTTGTTTTTAGGATAGAAAAGTCTACCTTACCTGCTCACTCGTTTTTAAAGTATGGACCCATTACAAATTATCCCCCAAATAAATGCAAATAGATGTAAAAATCAGAACAAATCTAGATTGCTGGAAAATATATATTGGCCATCTATCTCTCAGAGAGCCCTGGAGATATTTCCATTATAAGATAGAAGTTACAGATATAAAGTATCATTTTTTTCTGCATAAACAAGGATGATCCAATCAGATCTTTTAGTTTTTTTCAAAACTATATTAACTCACTTTGAAATCTTTGTCAAAACTTCATGTCAACAAAAGAAGAGAGCAAAGTAAGCAGAGTCTCACATAGTAAAGGGCCAAATATTAGTTTGAAACTCAGTTCTTCCAACTGTGTATTTTATTAAAATAAAGACATTTTCACAAATATGCCAAGTATTAAAAATAAATCAATTTTTATATTTCACAATGTTTTAAAAAATATTATCAAAATCATTTATGGTATAATTCATTTGAAATAAGATCTAAAATGCTAATTTAAAAATTGGGATGCTTGGTAAAGGCTGTTACACTATTTCCCAAAATGGGTAATAATGGCTACTTTCGTACTACATGGGAAATAGCATGTCTACATTCATCTAAAAGGAAAATTCATTAAAAACAAAAAACTGGTTGTTTCATTAATTCCCCAAAGGGTTAGAAAAATTTTACAGTCAGATTCACTGGTTTCATGTCAAATGAAGACACATGCAATCTCTGGACAACAGTCTTGTTCCCAAACACATCCTGTGTGCTTCTGCCTCTCAGCAGAAAACACCTCTTGCATTCCCAGCCTGTCAGCACTGGTCTGCCCTTCATCCCTATGACCTTCCTTTTCCTGAGTGTTCAACCAATGGGACCCAGGAAGCACAGCCCTGAGGCCAGCTCCTTTCACCCAACGAGGCTCTGGAGTCACTCAGGGCCGCTGCCAGTGTACTGCTTCTTGTTGCTGAGCTGGGTGCCCAGCTCGGATGGACCCAAGGTTCTGCATGCACTACCCATTAGAAGGGCCTTTGGGGGTAATACCAGTTTTTAGTGATTATGAATCCCTATAAAAGATTTTAAAACTAAAGTATTAATAACAAATACAAAAACAATCCAGTTGCACTACTGTGAATGAAAATGTAAAACAAATACTTATGTTTTGGAAATAAGGGCTTTCTAGGACAAAACAATGGGCCAGCTTCAGTTTATAGGCCAGACAAAAATATTTTACCTGCTCTTCACTTCTGTACTCACCCATGTTCGCCAGAAGGCAGAGGGCAGCTTGTACGTCCACTCCCGCATAGACGTCAGCCAGTGAACTTACCACTGGCAAGCAGAGCGTGTGCACTCTGATTCTCCGCTCACCTGAATGAAGTGATGAGACAGGTCACTGCAAAGTACGTTAGATCAGAGAGCAACAAGCAGGCAGGGCAAATACGATTTGAGCTATTGTTTGCATTACGTTAAATGACAACATGTTTTAAAGATGACAGAACACTCTCCACATCCAAAGGCAGACAACAGATGTACAATGAATTCTGGGGGAAACAGCACAATAGGTCCCAGTTCTTAACTTTAATATCACTCATCTTAATCACAGCCAACACAGTAAAATTAGATTGTCAAATAACAGGCATAGGCCATAAGCCTGTAATGGGAAGGCTGGGATAGCTGGATTCAGCAAAGGTTGTTTATCAGACACGTGATCCTATGAATACAAGTTTCCCATAGGTCAAAACACATTATTTAAAGATTTAAAAAAGCTAGTTAAAAAAGGGGGACATATATTTAATGAAGCAATGCAAATACTATTATTTTGTACTGTATGTTCCTCCAGTCTCTTCCCCATTCTCTTCAGCATGTGAAAGGAGGGGAGAGCTAATGATACAGGTCATATGTCTTCAATTAACAATAACAATACCTTTGCTTGATGTGTACAACAGGGCTGTCTGAAAGCACACTAAGGAAGTGTCTGTCAGACTTTCTTCAATTGACAGCTGTACGGCAAATCCAGCATCAGGATTGATGTTGGCCAGGGACAACAAGTCAGTGGAACGGACAAAGAAGTTTCCATGAAAAGTGTGCATTGAGAGACCTAGGGAAGAACGAACTTGCTATAAAAGATAAATTAACCTTTATCTGAAGATAAAGCTACTTCTTAAAGCAAAAGAGGTCGCTGATTGTAAATCAAAAGGATAACTTCAGAGTAAGATGGGATGTCAGCAGAGGTTCCATAATAATTCAGAAAACCCAATGCAGCTGATAAATAAAAGATAATAATTTAACGTGTATTGAATATTTTCCTCATTTGTGACTTGAAAAGAAGATCTAACTAATGTACAAAATTATATTATTGAGTTTATAGTAAGGGTTATTTTACAGTTTGTTTAAGAATTAAACAAAGGAATTAGAATCCCTCCACGCCAGCAAACATGCTCATAAAGCCAAGGTAACGTAACTGAAGACTATTGTGAATGATTATGAAGACTAGAATCACCAACCTAACAACTTCTTCTATATTCTTCTGAATTCTCCTAAAGTAACCTCCAAAACAGTATTTCTCTTACACTACTCTTCATAAAGCAAAACAATTATGTCAATCCACTTACTCAAAGTACTTAAAAATCATTCAACAACCACATATGTGCAAAACAAGTTAGCTGGAGCAAGTCACAGGTAGTCATTATAGAAATGCTAATTGCCTTTCATAGAAGTGTGCAATATAAAGTATAACTTTTCATAATTTTTCATACCTTTGGTACACCGTATTCTCATAACAGCCTCAAATCCAATTTTTCTTGTAAGATAACGCTTTAGGTCTTTTTGTAACTTTTCTGCTTGTGAAGGATTGTGAGTGAAGTGGAAAGATGGATAATAATAGATGCACCCTGCAGAATACTTGGACATACAGGCTTTAGAGAGAAATAAAAGTATTAGCTACTATGCAACCAGAGTACAGATTCCATATAATGAAGACACTTAAGCCATGAGAAAACCTAAAAACAAGCATAATACTATAAACTTGAAAAAACAAAAGCACAATATAAGTAAAATATAAGATCAGGCTTATCGTCGAGTGGAATGCTAAGGGAAATGTATTTCTAAAAACAAAATAGTAATAGCATTTTAAACTTGCACAGTGTTTTCAAGCTTACTGATAAGTTTCATAGATAGTATCTAATTTACATGCCTTTCTCTCCAAAATACTGAGAACTCTTATTGAAGAGTTTAGATTTCACTCTATGCTAAAAAATTTTACAGAAACAGATAAACACCATGACCCTTCTTACCTAGAGAAGCAAGATCGGAATACTGGGAACTTAACAGGAACAGATCCACTGCCGTCTGCTGCCCCGAGCAATCTAAAGCGAGTTTCTTATAAAAATCAGTCGCTGGGCCAAGATGTTGTACAACCTAAGGCAACAGGTCATAAAGTGAGAGCTAGAAACCTTGAATTACACACACTTTCTGTGCCTCTCTTACAAGAGAAGAGGGTACCCCATTTCCTATCGAACTAGGATATGGTTAGGCAGTTGGCACAGGCTTGTCTCTAAGAATGATAATCACTAACATTTATGAAGCACACATGTGCCAGCACTGCTCAAGATGGTTTCCATAAATTTAATTATATAACCTTCATAATAACATCTATTTCATGAATTATCTATGTTTTACAGATAAGGAAACTGAGGCCAAAACTGCTTAAATAACTTGACCACTCATGTAGTTACTGAGTGGTGGATGCTGGAAAAGACTCCAGCAGCCTGGCCCAGAGGGAATGAAGGTTTTTCCTACTTTAGGAGGCCACTTGAGCTGAGGTGGCACTGAGAAGAGTTAAAAATGCCAGGGCCGGGCTCTCCCTGGTGGTGCAACAGGTTAAAGTATCACATTATGAAGCTCTTGGAAGCCACCGCAGCATGAGTTTGATCCCGGCCAGGGAGCTGACCCACGGCTGCTCCCCTAAGCAGTGTACTTTGTCAATCTGCCTGTCCTGCTCCCCACTGTCTCTGGTGAAGCCTTTTACCCACCACACTTCTGGCCTGTACCCCAGTTCTGTCGGCATAAATAAATCAATCTTTAAAAAAATTGATTAATGAGCATGTTAAATTCTATTATCTAAGACTTAGTATGATCATGTAAGAAGAGGTGTAAGAGTGACTGAGTTGCATTTTTATCATTAAATGGTTACTTAACACCTTTAGCAAGGAAGTTTAATCTATTTTCTTTCCTGCAAAATGAAAGAGAGAAAATGACATCTAGATTTCTATGACTTGCAATCAAAGTAATAAAAAGAACATACTACAACACAAAAAGAATAATTCAAACTAAATTCGCCCATCATCTTTTATTTCCTTTACTATTAATGAAGCAGTAAAGTGGATATTAACTAATTAAACACTATGCAAGGGCAGAAAACACCATCTTGAATATGACAAAGAGAACAAAAAGATGGTACCTTTGTACTTGACCGCTGATTGGGGTCTTCTCTAGAATGCAGAAGCCCTGCACCCAAGGAAGGCAACTGTGTCTGAAACACAGACACACGGCCGCCCGTTGGGGACATCAGCTTAAAGGCAGCCTGAAGCGCAGGGCCAAGGGCGCTGTGTGTTTCTCTCGTGTTGGTGAACATACTTGGTAATGCATTCAGTAAGTCTCGGATGAGCTGGGAAAGCAGATTAATAGCTGAATTACTGAGCAGACAAGGCAACATTCTTGAAAACACACAAGTGTGGTATCTGCTGCTACACTGCAGGCAGCAAAACATACACTGAAGAGTGACGCCCCTCGTGCTGTGTGCGCACTGTGCAGACATCTCCACTATGAACACACCACACAGACACAGGTCAAATATTTTAGTGGATGGCTGAAATAACAAGTGTTTTGCTACCTTAAGAAAAAAATCATCCTCACCTCTTTACTTTCATATAGATTCACAAGTAAACTATCCGGTGTAGGCAGAAAAACATCTATAGGGAAAACATATTTTAATCAGTATGCCAATCAGGACAGTATAAATTTAAAAACATGAGCTTGCATCAGGCTGTACATGTAGTAGGCACCACAAAATCATTTTATTAAGTATATACTCCGCACTATCCACGGCTTGCACATGCATGCAAGTACACATACAGTTGCAAGAAAATCAGAATCAACTATTTTCCAGGAAGTCATTTATTTAAACAAAAATCAAATTGCACCAAACCGACTTCACAGCATTATGACAAGATGTATTGTAAAGTTAAGCAATCTGAATTCCAAAATCTGTCACTAGAAAGACATTTTATTCACTGCTTACCATCAATATCAGACACAATCAACATCTGAGGCTGTGATAATCCTTCTTGTAAATTGTAGAAATGAATAGTACTATCAAAGGTCATGAATCCTATTCTTGTTCGGGAATCTCCAGGAAGCCTAAAGATAAAAATGACAATCTTAAATTTCATGTGCTTAGTAGCTTACTTTCTTTAAAAACAAAAACAAACAAAGAAAAAACCAAGTTGAGGAATAATTACCTATGTTACCTCAGAGGACAGAAAACTTATCCCTGTCTGAGCCACTATTTTTCAGAGAAGAGAAGAATGACTCATTTCATTTTCAGACAAAACCACCAATGTGTTTAAGAGTTCATAGAACTGTCTTGGTGTGCGATGTGGAATGAAGGGGTGGTCCAAAATCTCTGCATCACATACAGTATTGTAAACCGATGTTGGTAATACAAATAAATTGCAGGAATTGTTTTTAAAAGACTGAATGATGTTCAAATAACAAACCATATAAAAAGTGACAATTCCAAAACCAAAGATTTCTTGCTAGCTTTCAAACATTCTCTCAAGTGAAAAAGTTAACATTTTCATGTACAATATTACAAAAGCTGCATATTTGGCTTAAATTTTTTTTTTTTAAAGATTTATTTATTTGTGCATACAGAACTGGGATACAGGCCAGAGGCTCAGGGGAGGCGAGAGGCTTCACCAGAGACAGAGTGGGGAACAGAACAGGCAGATCTACGAAGTAC